CTCACACACCAGCTCTCTGGCACTCACCTCAAGCATCATCCATCTCTTCATCACACAGTGATGTTCAGAGGTGAGGCCTGATAGGTGACAGGACACTCACACAAATGCACATGCAGACACACACACACAAGAATCACCACTGCAGTCTGCTCAAGTCCTGCTGCATCACTCCTCCCCTCAGTGCCCAGTGTCCAACAGCAGTGTTCTCCTCGTCTCCATGCCCAACAGTTTTCAAACCTAAAATCTAATTTAATCAAACACATTTCTACAGTTTCAAGCATCTTTCAGACAACAAAACAAAACATTACATCACTTCTCACTGACACAATCTGCTCAAACCATCACATTTTACTAATCAGGAAACATTAAGAACAACAAAAACCACTTTAAGAGACACAAAAGGTGAAGTAAGCTACTCAGTGCAGATTCAGAATAACTGAAGATCTTGCAGCCCTTGAAGGAATGCAAATTGCCCTCCGCCTTTTGTACCAGAATTTTAGTTGTTTACACGTGAATGACCTCTAGAAATGTTAGTTTTTTCCTGATATAGACATCATCTTCTTCTTTCAACTTTTCCCTCTTCAGAGTGTCACCTTCCTCCATCTCACTCTGTCCTCTGCATCCTCTGTTCTCACCCCAACTACCTCCATGTCCTCTCTAACTGCATCCATATATCTTCTCTTTGTCTTTTTCCTGGCAGCTGCATTTCTAACATCCTTCTACCAGTATACCCACTGTCCCTCCTATGGACATGTCCAAACCATCTCAGTCTGGTCTCTCTAACTTTATCTCCCAGTTGTTCAACCTGTGCTGTACCTCTGATGATCTCATTCCTAATCTGATCCATCCTTGTCACTCCTAAGGAGAACCTGAACATCTTCATTTCTGTCACTTCCAGTTCTTTCTCCTGTCTTTTTGTCCATGTCTCGGTCTCCAGACCATACAACATAGCTGGTCTCACCACTGTCGTGTAAACTTTTCCTTTGACCTTTGCTGACACCCTTTTGTCACAAATCACTCCTGAAACTTTTGTCCATCCACTCCATCCTGTCAGGACTCTCTTTTTTCACCCCTTTACCACACTCCTCATTTTCCTGGACAATGGACCCCAAGTACTTGAAGTCCTGCACCTTTGTGACCTCTGCTCCTTGTAGCCTCACTGTTCCACCAACTTCCCTCTCATTCACACATGTGCTCTGTCTTACTACGACTGACTTTCATTCCTCTTCTTTCAAGTGCACACCTCCACCTCTCCAAGTTCTCTTCCACCTGTTCCCTGCTCTCACCTCAGATCGCATTATCTGCAAACATCAAAGTCTATGGAGATTCCTGCCTGACCTCAACTGTTAGTCTGTCCATCACCAGAGCAAACAAAAAGGGGCTCAGAGCCAATCCATGATGCTCTCCCACCTCGACCTTGAAGCCGTCACTCCTACAGCATGTCTCACCACTGTCCTGCTATCCTCATACATGTCCTGTACCAGTCCAACATGTCCTGCTGTCTTCATACATGTCCTGTACTAGTCTAACATACTTCTCTGCCACTCCAGATAAATTTCTCCGATATTGACTGTGGGGGGAATAAACACGTCGACACTGTGATGCTGTGCTTGTTAAATCTGCTGTGTCCATTCCAGGTCACTACATGGTGCTTTGATTTTTGTAACTCAATGACACAGACACACAACACTTGTCTTGGGCATGAAAACAGTTCAGTCCAAAACGGTGAATACACAAACGTTTGTTTGAACTGAGGCTGGGTCACTCCAACACAATGAAAAGTATGATCAGGACAAACATCACTCTTCTTTCCGCCATTGTTACTGTTGTTTGTCGGTAGGGTGTAGTCTCATTCTGACGACGGGCATTTCCAAAAACCTCCAGAGACTTGGACTTGAGGTTTCTCGGTGTCAGAAAAACTGGCAGCTGTTGTGTACATGAACAGTCAAAATGCAGTAGAATTGCTATGGTTCCCCTCAAAAACAGTGTTGTGTAAACAGGGCATCAGATTATTTCTTATGCTGAGAATGAATAGAGTTGTGGTTGTTTTGGTCAAAACAACTACAAAACAAAACAACAACAACAACAAAAAACAAGAATCTCATGCAACATCCATCAGGCAGCATTCATAGTATGTGCTGGAAATGACTTTCCGCTACTACCACACCAAATTTCTGTAAAAATTACTCTTTTGTGTTGGCTAATGACAATAAGCTGCGTCGGCCTTCTTGACCTGGACTGTCTTCAAAAGTTACTCAACTGTAGATGATTTGTTGTTCATGAGGTATTTTGCTAAAACACAGGCAAAAGAACACACTTCTCTCACACACACACACAAACAAACACAAGCAAAAATATCTTTCTCTGGCTTTGACCTTTCAGCACTGAATGAAGATGTTAAAGAAAACAGCCGGACAAAGACGCATCAGGCGTAGGACACGACAGTCACAACAGGAAAAGAGGGATTAATTCATCCTTGTAACTGACAGTTATCTTTCTTAATCTAATTCATGGTTGCGTAATTACCACACATTTCACTTTAATGTCCTGTGTTTTGGAGAGGAAAAATGAGAGAACTGGCCTGTAGAGGTGGGTGTACGGAGGCTTTAAAGTCAAAAGCCATTTTCAAAGTTTAAACCAGCCTCAAATTTGTGGCATCCTTTTTTTTTTTTTACATTACTAAGTTTTAATTTCTGAATTAATTAAGACTCAAAGGCAGTTAACTCAAAAAAGCTATTAAATGTTTCTGATGAAGATTTTCCATTCACAAAATAATCAAATATTTACTTCATCTTTACTGAAAAGCAACAACAAGATGATCAGTTCATTGATAAATTCACCTTTTTGTTTCATCTTCAAACCAACTCTGCACAGAATCAACAAAGTCTGCAGCAATTAGATTTACTTGTTTATTTAGATTTTAGGAAAAAACATGACTCACAACAGTATAGGCAAGAATGGTTGTGTTAGTAAAATATCTCAAGAATCACTGAACTGATTTGACTGAAACTCTCAAAAAGTAAAGGGTGCACCGATCACAGTTTTCTGGCCAATCACCGATTTCTAAAAAGTCTGACCTGCCGATACAGATTTGGTTTTATAAGCGACACTGTCCAATGTTATAAGGTCATGATGCACCTTCAATTTTCCAATATTATTTTACTGAAAAACATACCCTTGAACAATATCCTAGAAACAATACAAACTTGTTTTAACTGGCCCTGAGGTATAGTGCTCTGAAATAAAAATGAAGTTTAGACAATTGTTGTTAAAACAAACAAAAGAAAAATTGGTAAAATCGGTTTCTCATGCAAGTATCGGCCAATTTCCGATATCCCAAAATTAAGGAAATCAGGGACGATAAATCTAAATACAACTGATTTACTTTTAGAGTCAGTCTAACTCAAGATGGTCAACACAGATAATCAACATTTGCCTTAATAAAATGGCTACAATCTACAGCAGGTAATTTTTACAGATATTGTGCTAAAATTGGATGTGGTAGTAGCTGACAGTCATTCACAACATATAATCTGAGTGTGACATCTTGGAATATCACATTAGATTATAAATACCTTTATGTTCCATAGTTGAATAAAATGGACAAACTCTTCAGGAAACTGTTATATTATCCCAAGTAAAGGCTACAGAAAAGCTGCTTCCAAGTTTTATTTTTAAAAAGCTGCCATAAACTGAGATGATGCTCGGATTGAAGAAGCTGATCTGGGTTTGAGGTAACCAAACTGTGCATGTGTGGGTTGAATCCAAGTGAACTTGTCTCAGACTCTTCTGTCTAAGACAAACAGGAAAAATTTGCCACAAGCTGACATTAGCAGGATTTGTCAACCGTTTACGGAAACTAACATGCTCATACACACAAAAAAAAAGGAAATGCAACTACAATGACTAACACTGGGATAACAAAACTGAGAAAAGTTACTGATTCTTTTTTTTTGTTGCATTTTTATTGTTTTAAGAGAAAAACAAAACATCAATAAACAGATTGACAACGTCTGACACTTCATGTCAGTTTAGATTGTCTTTAAATGAGAAAAGAGAGTCGAGGCTGTTTTGATCAAGCCAGAAATGACACAATATCATGCAATATGGAGCGATAAGTTAGAGCTCTGACAATGTGTTGAAGGTGACTCTCAGCTACTACTGCACCAGGTTTCAGCTCCATGGCTGAGTTACAGCAGATATGTTTGATGCAGCCGCTTTGTTGAATTGGGCAACTCTGAATGTCTATGTGTCCCACACAGTCTGCTGCTCCTCATATAAATGGTTTAGATCTTCTCCACGTTCCCATCTTGAAGGGGGTCTGTCAGCATCCACGTTGCCATGGAAACCAACTCAGGCCGATGCTGCTTTTGTTCACCCAAACCCTGAAGCGCCGCCTTCAAGTGATGCTCTGTGTCCAGCCCTCAGATCTGGTCGCGATCCATCCTAACACCCAGCTTCATTTCAGCCTGACTTAGAGGTCCTGACGAGGCGCTTTGCTCTACAGCCAACGTGGCTCTTTGCTCAAAGACAATAAGGTTCTCGGAGGGTTCGAAGGCTGTGACTACCATCATCTGTTAACCGAGCGGCTAGGCTAATGGGAACAATCTTCACCATAAGGGCACTCCTTTTCTCAAGCTCGCCAAGTAACCTCCTCACTTCAGCATACTAGTCCTGTCGAGGAGCCAAAGGTTGACCACCAGTCACACGGGTCATTCAAAGACAGTGCAGAGGCAAATGCAGTGATTTCACATTAGCATTTCGGCTAACATCTAACTGGACTTAATGATGGCACCGTCCTCTGATTACTCACCACTCTGCTCTTGTCATACTCAACCTAAGCGGATTAATATGACATTTTAGTGCTGACGGCGGTACAGGAGATAAAAACGTCCGGCTGGCCCATTACCCGTTATCAGTTAAGCTAACAGCTAGCATTAGATTAGCCCGCTCCGCTCAGGACATTCTTTCACATCAAAGCCTCTGCGCTCTCTTCTTACCTCATAATTTGGCTTCCATCGTTGAATACTGGCAGAAGCAAGCCGTTGTGTATTTATGTAACCATATAATGCGATCTCTTCTCCCAAAATGATGGTTTATCACTGTAAGCCCTTTCCGGTGAATCTCCCTTAGTTCAGAAATCCGGACTGACTGAGGAACAGCTGGAAAATGGGGTAACGCTAGTCAAATCTCGCGAGATTTCACGGTGTTCAAATGCTTTGCCAAATCTCGCGATACTTGTTTTTAACTCCTCAGGGAAGTTGTAAACCGTTTATGTCTACGGTTTTTGAGCGCCCCTTTCCTGTTTAAACTCATTTTCGATACTTAAAAAAATAAAAATTATAATATACAGCCTCAATAAAATTGTTTTATTATTATTTTATTAAAATAATGTTTACTACTCAATATTTAAAAAATATTATTAAATTATTATTAATTATTATTAATTATTATTAAATTATTATTAAATTATTATTAATTATTATTATTAAAATATTAAAAATATGTGATAATCATGAGTGAGCTCTTCTATCCAACTGAACTAACAGGTTGAGTTCACATAATTACAATTTAATATATTATTATAACTGGTTTTTTTTTTAATTCTACAGAATGATAGAATAAAAATAGTTTCAAAAATGAATTATTTTATAACCCCTGGGGGTGATGGACATCAACAGTTTCTTTTTTTTTTCATTCAACCTTTATTTAGACAGGTAAATCCCATTGAGCCTCGATGACTCATTTACAAAAGACCTGATTTCGACAAAAAATGAGGACAACAATGGACAACAGTGTTAACAATAAACAGTTATAAAATGTCATACTTTTTATTTTAACAAATAGGATGGCTAAAAAAAGAAAAGTAAAAAGAAAAAGAAAAAAGTAAAAAGTAAAAAAAGTTTAAAAAAAGTAAAAAGCAAGTTGCTGAGGTTATTGCTGATGCATTTCCTTCTCTGCATTGTTTTAACCCTATGTCTATTTATTAACCTTTATTTAACCAGGCAAATCCCACTGATATCACAGATCTCTTTTGCAAGGAAGGCCTGGGCCTGAAGGCAGACTAACGCTATGGCTATAGTTTACACACAGCTGAATGCTTCAGAGCAACAAACCAACAAAGTTTCAGCTTTTGTATTGACGCTCGTCCTGATGAACAGTTTGCAGTTGATTTTCAGCACCTGACTACTATTTACTATTTTGTTCACGTTCAAGTCAATTCTATTGTCATTCTCAGGCTCAATGGGATTTACCTGTCTAAATAAAGGTTGAATGAATCACATGTGGTACATGAGGTGGAACGAAATTATGAAAGAGTAAAAAGAAACAGTATATAAGGTTCTAAGATATACACTAATATATAAGCCAAACAAACGCCAAACAGCACATCCAAAGATCTAAGATATACACTAACAATAATAATGCAAACACTAAAAATATCATTTACACTTCTAAAAAGTTAAAGAACAATTATTTATTTATTTTCATGCATTTTTTTTGTTAAGCAAATAATGATGTGGTGTACATTATCTTATGATAATTTATTATATTTTTGTAAATGTTTTAGGACCTTGTACTTTGCGTAAACATTTAAAATAGGGGGGGAAACTTTTTTCTATCATAACTTAGTTTGATTTGCCATTGAATAAATAAGAGTAACCTATGAGAAATATTGATAAGGGGCAATATTGCTATAAATAAATAAATAAAAATCCCTGTGAAAATGTTAAAATTGAACTAGTTGCAGTTGTTATTACGATAGATCAGCCATAGGGGGCGGGGTGAGCGAGTCTTCCAGGCGGAGATTAAAAAAACGGCGAAGAAGAAAAAATCGTAGAAGAAGAAGTCAGTTGATTTCAACCATAGATATAAACACTTATATATATTTATGATTCCAACTGAAAGATAGCAAAACAACAATTTTCCTCTTTAAAAGACACGTTTAACTTAAGCGAAACCTTGTTGTTTTGATACATTTTTATTTATTTGAGTGTTTTGTCCATGTTTTAAAAGTGCAGCAACATGAAATGTTTGTACTGCCGTGCAGGTGAAAGCGACGCTGAGCCCAAATTCGTTATTCAAGAAACGGTGAGCTTGTTGACCCTTTTCTTAAATATATTTTTTTAGATTTCGGTGTTCTAAATGTTCAGACATAGAAAACCGCAGTAAACCTCCTGTCCACATACATATTACTAGCGACAATAGCATCCGTGTGTTCATTTTTCTATTGAGTTTTTCCTGATTTATTTTGTGTCCTAGTTATGAATGAAAACGTCACATGTTTAGGATCGTGGGTTTAACAAAGACTTGACACCATTATTATTATTTCTTAGTATAATAAAGCATTTATGAAAAAGTTTCCAATACATTCATAAACTCTTCTGTGTAAAATGTTTAATCTCTCTGCCTGGACTGACCTCTGGCCACACTTATACTTTGCTTGTTTTTCCAGACTCCCCCAGATGTCTTAGACAACCACCAGGTCCGAGTTCGTGTGAAGGCATGTGGACTCAGCCCACTGGACCTCAAGGTAAAAATAGATCATTGATTTTTAAAAGTTAATATTAAAGAAGACTGAAGTATTGTATGCGAAAACTAATCTCCTGATTATATAAATTAACAATAGCAAGTACCTCTTTGTCACCCAACACATAAAATGCTGAAAGGTGAGTGAGAATGTGTTTACTCATGTCTGTCCGTGTGTGGTCATGTTTGTATATCTTTACATTGATCATCATCACCATCAATCATCATCAATCATCTCAGGGATCATTGAATGGATTATATTGAAGCCGTCAATGATTGTTGTCACTGATTGTTGTCACTGATTGTTAGACCAGTAGTTATCAACCTGTGGGGCACAATCTCTGTGGGGGCCCGGGACCATGGATACACACACATACACTAGAGAAGATGGGCCTGTGATTGGAAAGTCGCAGGTTCAACTCCTGGTACCTACAACATCAAAAATGTGGGTGGAAAAGGTGAAACACCCACACCTGCCTCCACCCACATTCACCTCTCTCTGGGCCCCTGAGCAAGGCCCTTCTCGTGGCTCAATGACACTACCTGTATAAATAAAGAATAAAGAATATATATATATATATATATATATATATATACATACATACATACCGGATTCCAAAAAAAGTTGGGACACTAAACAAATTGTGAATAAAAACTGAATGCAATGATGTGGAGATGGCAAATGTCAGTATTTTATTCGTAATATAACATAGATGACAGATCAAAAGTTTAATCTGAGTAAATGTAACATTTTAAAAGAAAAATATGTTGATTCAAAATTTCATTGTCAACAAATCCCAAAAAAGTTGGGACAAGTAGCAATAAGTGGCTGGAAAAAGGAAATTGTGCATATAATGAACAGCTGGAAGACCAATTAACACTAATTAGGTCAATTGACATGATTGGGTATAAAAAGAGCTTCTCAGAGTGTCAGTGTCTCTCAGAAGCCAAGATGGTAAGAAGATCACCAAATCCACCATTGTTGCGCAGAAAGACAGTGCAGCAATACCAGAATGGTGTTACCCAGCGTAAAATAGCAAAGACTTTTAAGTTATCATCATCAACCGTGCATAACATCATCAAAAGATTCAGAGAATCTGGAACAATCGCTGTGCGTAAGGGTCAAAGCCGTAAAACTCTACTGGATGCTCGTGATCTTCGGGCCCTTAAACGTCACTGCACCTCAAACAGGAATGCCACTGTCAAGGAAATAACAGAATGGGCTCAGGAATACTTCCAGAACGCATTGTCAGTGAACACAATCCACCGTGCCATCCGCCGTTGCCAGCTGAAACTCTACAGTGCAAAAGGAAGCCATTTCTAAGCAAGCTCCACAAGCTCAGACGTTTGCACTGGGCCAGGGGTCATTTAAAATGGAGTGTGACAAAATGGAAGACTGTTCTGTGGTCAGATGAGTCACAATTTGAAGTTCTTTATGGAACACTGGGACGCCATGTCATCCGGACCAGAGAGGACAAGGATAGCCCAAGTTGTTATCAACGCTCCGTTCAGAAGCCTGCATCACTGATGGTATGGGGTTGCATGAGCGCTTGTGGCATGGGCAGCTTGCATGTCTGGAAAGGCACCATTAATGCAGAGAACTATGTTCAGGTTCTAGAACAACATATGTTCCCATCTAGACGTCATCTCTTTCAGGGAAGACCCTGCATTTTTCAACATGATAATGCCAGACCACATTCTGCAGCAATCACAACATCATGGCTACGTAGGAGAAGGATCCGGGTACTGAAATGGCCAGCCTGCAGTCCAGATCTTTCACCTATA